TAGTAGATTGTTGAATCTACTGTTCTATCTCATAGTCTTGAATATTAAATCTATAGTTCATTTCACAGTCCCTACAAAATGAGAACAGGCAGTTTGGTCAATATGACCAAAGTGTTCTTATCTTTGATCAACAACCTAGATAACTATATTGAAAGAGGTAGATAGATTTGGTAAATAGATGTTTTAAAGCTTAGATTGCCTTTTCCACTACTAAGGAACAGGTCAATTATCACTTCAGAGAGAATACAGTAATTATGAATTAATTGATAGACTTTGTAAAGATAACTCTATTATGCCACTTAGTAGAGTATCAAGGAGGTTATTTAAGAAAAGTATAGGTTAGGTAGTAGGATTTATTTAATAAAGAACTCAAGTTTTTATAAGCAAACTATCAAGAGTTGTTTTTTTATTACAAGCAAATACATTTTTATTATATACAATTTACATTAATATATTTCATATAACTCTTTTTCTACTTATAATACTTAAACATATCTTAATACTTTAACATTCTAAATGTACCAAAATCAATAAAACCACTAATTCTCTATACCTCCTTTTCCTCCTTAATCCCTTTTTCCTATTAAAACTCTAATAACTCTTTTATTACATAAAAGAGTTTTAGCTCTTTTATCCCCGGGCAACCCATTAATGGTTAGAGATCTGCATACCCGTATACAGATACTGCGGCACATTAGCCTCTGGCCTCCAGAGTAACTTTCATGTCTCACAATATATACGAACTATGTTTATAAATCATTTGGCATGTAACACAAACCTTTACGATCATTGGAACTCCGTCAAAGAAGTAGATTAGTATTAGAAAGAGAGAAAGAAATCCAAGAAGGACCAACGCAAAGTAAAGACTTAGAATCACACTTACAAAGGAGACCCAAGATAATCCAATAGTATTCCTAAAACCCGGACCAAATCTTCCACGCCCTCTTTCGACGCCTTCCATTTAGGGTTTATTGTTGGATTTGAGTTGCTGATTAGCCCCGAGCCCTTGCGTAACATAACCTCTGGACGAGCTTCGGTCTAGACCCACTCAGAATTCTTCGACATGTGCACCGGATGCTTCAAAAATTACCAGAACATGCTCCGTTTATTGTACTGGATCAATTTTAAAATTCAGGTGTACGCCATGTAAAAAATGGTAGATCCGGAATTTTACTATATTGAGACTGGATCCGTTGAATATCCGTTACAGATATCCAGTGAATAATCATGGATTATAATATAAATAACGTAATAAAATAAAATACAGAATTAGGGATGAAAACGGCTCAAATTGACTTAGCTTGGCTCAAGCTTGTGCCGGCTCACTATAAGCCGATGCCATCCCTGGCAATAACTAGTCAACGGATAGTCAACGGATATTCACGAATTTAATCTAAAATATTCATGAATTTGTGTAATGGATTATCGATGATTTAATTTTTTAAAATGATTATTCATTTTTAATTGGAATATTCACGGATCTAGTCTCTAATTTTATACACTGGATGCGATATAAAAATTTATAAAGTAACTTTTATCTCTAACGTGAAGTTGGTAATCAGCAAGGTAATTTAGAAGTTGGGTGAGAGGTATGTATTTATAAGGTACAATATATAATACATAAATATTACATGATATTCAAACTATCTATCCACCTCATTATATTCGTATATATGTCCGCACTTGAAAAGATAAATTGACCTTTAATATAAGGTTCAGCAAACTGTGGTAAACTAAATATCATAATTGGGAAAAATATCATCATCTTAAAAATCCTGATTTCAAAACTATCTTTTATGCCCTTACTTCTTCCTAAAATTTTACCTTCAACTGCCTCCCATAAAATTAAAACTAATCCATGAAACAAGAAAAATACTATAAAATCTATCGAAAAATGGTTAAAAATCACTAATGCTATATAATCATGAAACAAACCACTTATCAAATAGACTGAAAGCATTCCAAGCATTTGTCCAAGAGTTTTGTTATGTTTAAAATAATTTCGAACCGGAAGGAAGCCAAGTTCTTTAAAAACTTCATTATATAATTGGTGCCACTGATTTGACCAAAGATCTCTAGGACTTGTTGAGAAGTATGGTTTACCCATAAGAGGTTTTGTATAAAATATCGTAAGTATCAACCATTCTTTGAGGATTGTTTTAAAAGATTTTGGTTTTTCTTCCTGTTTTTTATTTATATCAACACCTTTAGATAATAAAGGTCTTAATATTAATCCGAAAATTATACAAGTCACGTTCCAAATGAATGAGAAGTTTGTAATTGTAAGAATAATCCACAATGAGCAGTAGAAGAGTTCGTATGCTTCAACAAATGGATGACCAGTTAAAGAATAATTTAAAATTCGTAACCCATATGATTTTTCCGGGATTTGTGGTCTGTTATTTTTTAAATATATAGCTAAAAGATTTACAATAACCAATTTAGTAATAACTTTAATAGTGTGATTAATCATCTCTAGGTTAAGATCTTTAATTGTGATGAAATCAATGTATTTTTGATAATTTGATTTATCAGTAATGGTTACTGCGTTAGGACGCCAATTAAATAATGAACCAATGAATGAAGGAATTTTAGTTTTTGAATCGATTGAATATTGATAATTTTTTTTCAGCCATATTATCATTTTGAATGAGTAAAATGACGCAAGTACTGAAATATAGAAAT